ATTTATTAAGATTATTTCTTAGTTGCCTTTCCAGGAATCTGCTTGAGGGGGATTGAGCTATTTGCTTACTAATTGCTTTTAAGTATATGAACAAGATTATCTTGAAAAACCAATTAACAAATTATATTTCTCCAATTATTTCAGGCCTCATATATTCTCAATTTAATATTCATTTCTAATATTTTAACTCACTAAACCACAGGAATCTGGTAGAGGCTGACAGAGCACTAGAAAGTCTGAATACACAGTGAAATACCAAAAAATAAAAAACCCTAGACTTATTAGTTAAGTCACACAGAACACAAACCTAGCCAAAACAATCCTACCAAGACAATCAACACTTATTTGCCAAAAATATACTTGACATCCCTTACACAGCATATTTGGGAATTGGTGGTCTCATGTAAAGTATATATTAGGAAATATTTCACAAATGCTAACAGCAGCAATAAAGAACAATTTCTGGTACGTATAGAAGCAAAACAAACAAAAGAATGTTTTCAAAGTCTGACCTTAATGCATTAATGTACTAATAAAATGTCAAAAGAAATCCAGGGGAAGGAAATGCATCATGATTTCTTTCTAGGGAGAATCATTCATTTCTCATGGGTCCAAATGACTACCTGTTAATCTATCATAGCCCCCTGGAATTCTAACACTTGCAACCCTTTTCCACAAAGCTGTGAGTGGCAACCATCCACTTACATGGGAGAAAGCAAAACTATTACATGGTTAGGCAATCCCTATCACTGAGAATCAAGCGTTGAGCTATTTCTATAGTCTCACTTGCACTTCATCAGCATAACCTAATTCTGCATCACAGCAGAGATGGTGACAAAATATTGGGAACATCTCTATAGCACATTAGGACCTGGAGGGGATCCAGGTTCGAATCCCCACTCCACCGCGGAAGTTCACTGGGTGAGCCTAACCTACCTCACAGGGTTATGAGGATAAAACTGAGAATAGAAGAATGATGTGAAGCCACTTTGGGTTCCCAGTGGGGAGAAAGTTAGGGCATAAATAAATGAGTCAGTCTAGTGGACTGGTTGTATTTAAAATGCTAGAACTCATCCCTACCCTAGGGGGAAAAAGCTTAATTCATATTCTGCCTTCTTACATCCATTCCCTTCAAAAACCTGCTGCGTAAAATCTAGATTAAGATCGGTAGCCGTGTTGGTCTGAAGTAATAGAACTTTGTTGGTCTTAAAGGTTCCACTGGACTCAAACTTTGTTCTACTGCTGACCAATTGGATCTGTGTGAAATTTAGTTAGCTTAAGCAGCGCCCACTCATTTTGGTAAGTGTACAAATCCAAAGGATGAGACAACACCATTCTCATACCCAGCACCTGTACACAGGGCCTCTGGCAGAAGTCAAGGAGCAGGAAGCAGCACAGGAGAGCACAAGCTGGTCTCTACACTGTAACCAGGCCCATACATCACATAAACCACTGGTGGTTACTGAACACAGGCTGACCACACCTGGTATTGGTAAGTAATATTACAACAAATTCCTTCCTGTATAGCATCCGTTAGTTAGAACACAACTGGATGGTATTGGAATAGCAACACATGGCAACTCTTTTCCTAATAGTCCAAACCTAGAATTTGCTCTTGGCATGTTTGGGCTTAAGAAGGAATCTAGAATTACTCTCTATATTCTAGATTTTCTAGAATGTAAGATTTGAATTTCCCAGCCTTGGCTCTATTAAGCCACCTGGACTCTTGATGTGTGTTAACCAGCAAAGATGGAGACAACATTTAATGGTTAGTCCATGTATGTAGTCTACTGTCCAAGCAGCAGCTGAACTACATTACATTATAGCCCATTCTCATTTATAATATCCTCAAATTTTATCCAAATAATTTTGCCTTTGATTCTGATACTGCTGTGACTGGAGCATAAAGCAATGCACTGTTAAGTGATCAGCTGGTGAAATTATTAGTTGCATCTACAAGTGCAAGGAACAGCTGTGTTTAGCTCTATATTCTGAATGGGGGGAAAGAGGAATAGCTATCGTGAACATCTTATAAATGAAAGAGCAAGTCTGTCCATAAAAGCCATAAGCTGTGTGTTCCTTTCCCACAGTTTCTCCTATAGAACAGCACAATATGTGGTGTTAAAAGCATAACAAGGGAAGGAATTTAGTAGAAATTGCCCTCCCCATTTCACAGGTGGAACCACCTCTCACATGTACAAGGGGCAGGTTTGGAGCCAAGCCTGGAAGAGGAAAGACTATACCAGTACCCCCACTTGTAAACAACCAGTTATACCTTTTATTTGAGAACATGCCTAATGGCAATATATACAGAGCGGCTGTTAGATACAACAGGGAAAGCTAAAGGGACTGAAACTGGTGCTCTGCTCCACCTGCCAAACATGATCACTGGCAATTTTAAAAAAAACAGAACTACTCAGGACCAGGATAACCTAGGGAACAGGATTGGGGAAGGGGGCCAAAACATGCAGGTCAAACGTAATTGCATAACCAGTTCCCAATGTAGACAGGGATACTGGCTTGCTTCAGTAGGTGCACTATCCCTAGTTCAGTGCAGGCAATACAGTACTAGGCTGTATCAATATAGAAAACTCCCATTAAAATCTAAAATTCTAATCCTGAAAAGTCACTGGCACTGCAAGTTTTCTAAAAAAAAGTGTCAGCTTTAGTTCTTTTATGCTAATACTGGAATGAAAGTTTCAATAATAGAAACAATATTCAAATAGAAGATGCCATTTCAAAACACCAGAGTAGGAGAAAATATTTCAATCTCAAAGCAACGAAAAAATCGTTTTTATTGTTCACCTAAAGAAGTTTTACAATAAAAATACCTTTAAAAGCAAGCAAGTTACTCTATTGTTGTTCTATTGTTCCAGCAATTTAGTTCAAAACATTTTAGGGATTTTTTTCTTTTTGACAAAACCTTCAGAAGTGTAATACAACAGCATCATCATTTCTTAAGATTTTTTTGAATAAAAATTTTAAATTGGTCACAGTCTAAAGCAAACAATCCCAGAACATACACACTATCCAGTACACACAATATAAAGAAAGTAAATTATAACTGCTGTGGAACACACACTCACCCCCACCCAAACAAAAATAATAATAACAGAATTACACAGTGGTTAAGGTACACTCCATCCCTTGGTGACAACTTGTGCTCTTCGCCTAAATGGCAGGGGAAATTCACAGCACTAATCTGAAGGACAGGAAATACATAATCAAGTGGATATATTGAAGTTGGATTTAATTCATTCTGCATTAGTAAAAAGGTGACTGTTCATTCAGTGAGCAGAGCCAGAAAGAGAATGGGCATGTTGACCATCTGTAACAATTTTAAAAGTTTCATAGTTCTTCTTCCAACACCATCTTCCAAACAGAAGTGTTTTACACTCATACAATGTTAATTACTTTATTATACATGGAAGCCTGCAGTAGGCCAATTACACAATAAGACTGCAAATAACCACTGGTATTTTTCTGCCTTCAAAAAGTACATAAGACAGAAACATCACCGAAAGTACATTAAAAATAAGAAAATCTGCATAAACATCACCAAAATTACATTTCAAAAAAACTAAGAGGAAAAAAATCTGCAAAAGAAAAAAAGTGGTTCAGGGCAGTGCAACTGCTTTTTAGCAGTTTTAAAATAACCATCATTTTTTCCCCCTAGTAGATTTCCATTGCTCCACAGGCTCTAATCCAAATTCACATATCATAAATAATGTACCACAAAATATACATGAATCTGAGCAACAATTCCTTGGAAAGGTTCTGGTGACAATAAACCACAAGGTATGGTCAAATGGTTCACACATCCAGTCTCCGAATGGAACTGAAGCCTAGGCCCAAGACTGCAATGTGTTTTTCCGCACATCCTTATAACCACACATAATCTTAACCCATTAAAAAAAAAGCTGCATGTGGACAACTATGTTAGCAGATCCTGATGCAGATTAGGGGCTGTCTTTATGTACAAATGAGTATATCAGTTTTATGATATATTATATGGAAACCTTGATGGCCTTCTAAAGTAAAGGGACATTCCAATATTTTAATTATTCAGTTTTGATGCCACACGACATCAAAAACCATGTAAGTTATGTAACCTTCTGGAATGTATATCTTTTAAAATTCTACCTGTTAAACTAAAGGGAAGAGGAAAGGACTGCAGAGTATGAAGGATGAGCTTGATGGGTGGGGCGGAATAACAGCTGATAAAAGGTAGAAGTCTTAAGATGCTAAAGAATATTTAGATACAGGGAAGAAAAGAACAGGAGACCAATTGGGAAAGGCTATTTTCAACCATGTATAATAAATAAATCTATCAAAAAAGTACATAAATTATGACTTATTTTGGTTGGCGTTCCAATGACATTAAATTGCAACTTTAAAATTCCTTCTGTGAATTCTGCTACTAAAATCTCTTCATAGAATTACAGTATTCAGAAAAAAATGGGGGTGGACGTTATTGGTTGAATTAAAGCTATCATTCCAGGCTTATACCAAGGATCTGAGAATATCTACCTGCCAGACTGGAATGAGTATCATCATCTGGAAGAAAAAAAGTACATCAACATCTGTAGGTAGCAATTTTCTCAGAGTTTTGTATCACCTAGATATGAGACAGCAATTTATAATGCCATAGATCCCTTTCTTAAATGGTGAAATAGATTTGCCACTTATTTGTAAATCGGAAATCCCAATACACTAATCACGCAGAGAATCTCCTTTCTTCATTACATTTTCCTGAGAGTAAAGCAGTTAAAATAAACCTTAATCCTAGGAACAAAGTTTTTTTATTTTTTGTTTTTGCATTTTCAACTTTTGGGCTATTCCCTGACAATCTAAATATGTAAGTTTGATTGCTAAACACTGTCACATGAACACAAAAAATGCAAACTAAAGTCTATTGATCTGATTAAAAACCATAATATAAACTGATCTAAAATTACATTAACACCAACCAAATTTGAAAAGTTGCATTGAAAGGGCGTGTTACATTATTTTGTTATTAGGACCACATAGAAACATTCCAATGGCAGTGTTATCAAAATAAAAGAAATACATTAAGACTACCCCAAAGCCTAGTCACCCATGGAACCTTACCGATAACTTTGGCTAGTTGGGGTTTTTACTCTTGTACTACATGGCTCACTTACATCAGACATTATATTTGTATACCCTGAGAAATCTGATACTGAAGTCCTTACTCTATGGTCCACTTCCCCATTAGAGTTTGCAATAAAAGTCATTGGCACCCTGCTGCCCGTCTTAAACTGAGAACCAAATGCTTGTGCAAAGGTCTCTATCTGGTATGTTGCTCTATGCTCTAGGTCCTTCTGAGGATCTATCTGGTTAGCTAGCTCCTGAGATGGTATTGGAAAGCTTGTTGAAGATTCCAAGTTTTTTTGTTCCTTCTGGCTATTCAACTTTTGAGGTGCAGACTGATAGCCTGATGAAGCATCTATGTTTTTCTGAGAGTCTATCAGATCATCTAGTTCTTGCGAAGGAGTCAACTGTTGATGGGTTGCCTCCAAAGCAGATAAATAAAAACCAGGCTGAGAGCCAAGCAACATCCCAAAAGGAGGCTTTGGCAATGCTGATGGCAACACTGAGGTAACAGATTGGCTGAAACCACACTCAAGTGGAGATGTAGTGTACATTTGTTTGTCTTGAAACAAAGTATGGTTATGAAGGCTTGAAGACAAACTTACAAACTGGAAGCTGGGTCCAAAAGCAAAACCAGTGCTATTGGTTGTTCTTTCAAAAGCCTGTTGGAGGTATTTTGAGTATTCTTGCAACATGCTTGCTTTGTCACTTGAAGTCTGAGAGCCAGGGCTCAGATTCTCTTCTTGAACCATCTCTGTATGTTCTCCAGAGGCATGCAAGTCCACTCGCTGTTCAGTAATGCTGAAGGGATCTTCCTTCTGGCCTTCTGACTTGTGAGCATACTGCTCTAGAAGACTTTGCAAGACTTCATCAGGAATACCAGATTTGTCATGACAAGATTTGATGTCAGCATTTAGAGATGATGAGTCAATAAGAGATAACGGGGTTTCACCGTCCATAACACTGACACCTGCAGACTGAATAACAGACGGTTGGGAGGCCATATGCCCAACATTTATAGAAAAGGCACTGTTACTGCTGGCAGTTTGCAAATATCTTCTTTTCTTTGAAAATTGCATGGCATCATCATAATTGCTACTTATTTGACCTGGTTTACCACCTGCAGCTTGGAGAAGACCAATAGCATCTATACTGGTATTTGCAACTAGGCCAAGAGAGCCACCTGGTTTTCCAGACAATTGTTTTTGACCAAGAAGGTCTGGTAAAGGTGACACAAAATTAAGATAACTCTTGTCTGTACCTTTCCTGTTTCCTTTTTTAAACACTAATTTTGGCACCTTTTTCTGCAGCTCTTCTATCCCAGTGCCAATTAAACCACTACTGGAAGACACTATAGGAATCTCCACTGCATAATTCTGCAAGGTCATATTAGATGCAATCTGAGACTCAGATATTTTATGACACGGTTTGTGTTCTTTGTTTTCTGTAGATATACTTTTTGCTTTGCTTTTTCTCCTCGATGAACCTGTATTTCCCTGAGACAGCACAGACAAGTTGCCCATGCTATGGTTTGATGGCCCAGGATCCAATCCAGCACCTGCTTTCCCTATGGCTTCTCCACACGTACGTCTGTGCTTCAACAGTCTATCAGTCCTTGAAAAATACTGCTGACAGGTTTCACATTTGTATGGCTTTTCTCCGCTGTGCGTCCTCTTGTGTCTCTCCATGTGATACTTCTGGATAAACTTCATACTGCACTGGTCGCACCCAAACGGCTTCTCCCTGCTGTGGATCTTTTCGTGTCTCTGTAGCAAATACTTCTGAATGAAACCCATGCTGCACTGGCTACACTGGAAAGGCCTCTCACCGGTATGGATGAGCACATGCCTGCGCAGATGATAAGAGCTCCTAAAAGCAGCATTGCAGTGTTCACAGACATGTGGTTTCTGGCTAGGGGACAGCATGGCAACTTCTCCATCTCCTGCCACAAGGGGTTTGGACGAAGCGCTCGGCTTCCGCTTGGCTTTGATTCCCTGAGATTCCGACTTTGGCCTCTTCATCTTTCTGGCCTGGGCATCATGCTTGTGTTCGTCCAAACCAGCAGGCCCCACCTCACCACCGGTCCTGATGCCCAGCAGCAAATCTCCTCTGTGGGGATGGTGGTGCAAGTGGTGGAAAAGGCTGAGGTCCTGGATGACACTCTGGTTGGCCCCTTCCGCTCCTCCGCTGACAGCAGTGCCGCCAAGAGTTGGGTGCCGCTCCTCACCGGCTATTCCAAACAGGCCCCCGTAGTGGTGGTGGTGGTGATGATGGTGGTGGTGGTCCTCTTCTTCCTGGTCGCTGGGCTTCTCTTGCTTGATGTTCACCAGGGACTGGAAAAAGCCCCAAGGGCTCCTCTGCGAGGAAGAGGCCGAGGAGGGGGCGCTGAGAGGGAAGCCCCCCGCCGCAGGCTCTTTCTTGAAAGTCATGCCCTGAGGGTGGGGAGGCGGGGCGGGGGGGTCGGCGGCCGTTGCAGTCGTCACGGTAGAGGAGGAGGAGGAAGAAGAGGAGGAGGAGGAGGAGGAGGCGGCGGTGGAAGATGAGGAGGAAGACGAGGAGGAAGACGAGGAGGAAGACGAGGCGGCCGAGGCAGGCGTCAGCCCACAGTGCTGGGGGGGCGCGGCCGGGCGGGTGAAGCTGGTGACGGGCGGCAGGCGGTGGTTGAACATGACCATGCTGGGGGGGAAGGTGGGCTCCATGGCCGCCCTCTTGGAGGAGCCGCCGCCGCCGCCGCCGCCGCCCAGGAAGCCGCTGCCCAGTTTCATACTCTTCCCTCGGGGGATGGGGAAAGCAGCGCAGCCGGGAAGGGCGAGACTGAGGAGGCGCGGCCCTCCTCCGCGGTGGCTGCTCTGGCTGCCGGACACCGCAGCCGCTCGCTGTACACACTCACCCGCCCGCCGGCTGCTTGTCTGGCTGGCCGGCCGGCCCGCTCGCCTCTCTTTCTCTCGCTCGCTCTCTGCCGCCCTTCTTCAGCGCCCGCTCGCCCGGCAGCCGCCAGCCGGGCGCATCCTTCGTCGTCGCTCGGCCCCACCCGGCCCAACCTTCGCCTCCGCCGCTGCTCTCTTTTACGGCCGCCTCCGGTTAAAAATATCGCCGACTCCGCTCCACAATGGAATTAGCAGGGTCGGGGCCCCCCCGCGCCGCCGCCGCCGCCGCTGCTGCTGCTCTACTGAGGCCCACACTGCACATGCGCCACCGCACGGCATGCTGGGGAGGATTGCCCAGGCAGGAGGGCAACAGCATGGGGGGGTTAAGTGAAAGAGCGCAGGCGCGGATGGACCCCCTTTTCAGGTTTTTTGTTTTTTTTGCCCGCCCCCTTGTCTCTGTATTTTGGCTTCTGTCTCGCTGGTTATCTCAACAGTCTGGTCAGTTTCTCTCCGGGCGGGCGGTCGCCCTGAACGGTGCACGAGAATAAATACAGTTATCCCCCGCCTCCGCCCGCGGGTGCAAAAGGGCACAGGCTCACACATCGTTAACATGTATTTGCGTTTTCGGGAGGGGGGGAATAAGAGGGATCACACTAGATGCACAGTTTTCCAGTCACACACACAAAAAAAATCGTTCCCCTCCTGCTCCTAAACGCGTGAACTTTTAAGTCCTATTTATTTCAGGGGGGATCGCTCCCAAGTAAAGATGATTACAACCTTAAGATCCCTATTAATGTAGGCATACTGAGGAGAGCCACAAGCTTCGGAGAAGGAACTGGGCTTTGGGTTAAAGAATGCCACTGGGAGAAGCGACAGACGTCTTCTGGCACTTTCAAGACTTAACAAGTTTTCTCTTTCAGAGATGTTTAGCTTTCTTTTCCGTCAAGGGCTCAGAGCAAGCTGTCATGGTGCATCCTTGTCTCCCAGCATTACTTTGGAGTGGTTGAGAGAAGAAGAATACAAGAACTTGTCAGTCTTCACGATGCAGCAAGACTCTTTATTTTTGCTGCAAATACGCTCAAACCGCTACCTCTCTGGAGTTGTAGCCAACCCTTGAGGTACATGACTGAGCAAGCATTTATATGGCGAAACAGTGATTTAAATATCTAAACTGCTGCCACAGACAGATTAAAGCAGCTGGAGGCCAGGAAATACTTCCTGACTGAAAGGCCGGTATTGAGTAATACAACAAATTACTGTGAAAGTTGCACAATCTCTTCCCAAACAGTTCTTCAGAGGAGACTGGATAAGCATCTATCAAGGATCGTTGGTTGGACTAAGCAACTTTTTTCATTGTTATGCTGTTATTTGGGGGGGGGGGGTTACTTTTTGTAACCCACCTTGAGGGTCCATTTTTTGGGTGGGTGAGATACAAACATTTTTAATAAATAAACAATCCATCCTTCCACATAATTCATCTGTGTTTTCTTCTCCATCTCATTAATACTGGGGCATATATGCACATTACATAAAAAGTGGTCACTCAAAGCTCTCCATTTATTAAGCTTCGAAAATATTTTTAATATTTGTTTAAATGAGTCTAACAGTGCCATAGCCACAGGGGAAGTGTAGGGGACAGGTTCTGAAAAGTACTACGAGACTATCTTAATACATAACAGGTTCCCTTAGATTCTAGAAAATGCTTCTTACTCTTCAAATTATGAAGATGTATTTTAAACAACATTTATTTAAACTTCCCAGTTGCTCACTAAGAAATCCGCCTTTTCTTCTAATGTTCTGGGCAATGAATGTTAAGTCACTGGCGCTAGGAATTCTTTTTTAAGTATAAAATTCAATTTAATTTTACGAATATTGAATGTATTATATTAGGCTATCTGTATTTGGTCCTTACTGTTCTGCACTGGTTCACAGACACACCCACCAACTCTGTGTAACTGTAGTTGCTTTCACCATATTTCCTCCTATGAGTCTGGAATCTATATTTAATGCCTTACATAGAAGTTCTCTATACCAACTACAGTAATTTAATCTGAAATCAAAACCTAGTACATTTGTATCCAGCCCTTCCTTTAAGGAACTCATGGCAACATACAGTGTTCTCCCCCATTTTATCCTCACAACAACCCTGTGAGGTAGGATAAGCCAAGAGAGTACGCATGGACCAAGATTATCAAGACAGCTTCACAGCGGAGTTGGTATTTGTTCCTTGGTCTCTCAGATCTTACTCTGATACTCACTCACACTGGCTCTGAGACATGCCATTTTCATGTCATTTTCAGTAAATAAACTCCTAATAACCATTGAGGAAGCAATTTAGTTAAACTGGCAGTTGTACATAAATAAAGTAAATTTAATATTTCTGTCTGATGCTCAAAAATCTTCCTTCATCGGATTTGGATAACAAAAATGACTAAATTAGGTGGCAACACTATATCTATTTAGAAGTAATCCACACAGAATTTAGTAGGACTTCCATTCTGAATAAATATTCATAAAACAGGACTGCAAAAGAGGGATTTCCCTCTGTTCTGCTTAGTAGTAGTTGCTGAACAAGCTATCAGGTTTATTTTAATAAAAGTAGGGCTAGTTCTGACTTCAGAAGGCACCTAGAAGCCTAGATAAAGTAGCATCTTGAATCATGCAAGTCTGATAGGCATCTCTTACGCATGCAAAAAGTAAATTCTTCAGGTAATTAGCAAGGAAAGGTTTAACGTCCTATCTATTACGATCTCACAGGCAAACAGAGATGACTAAATTAACTTGTGCCAGCTGTATGATAACACTCAGAATGCACTGAATGGTTTTTTAAAAAAATTCAAAGTCTCTAGCATATGTCACAGGAGTATAACTGGAAGGTAATGCATTCTGCAGACTCTGCATGCAGATCAAATGGTTACTTTTCAGCAGCCATGAAATATAAACGCAACCTCACTCCTTTTAAACAGTGTGAGAAAGTTCATCTTCTCCTAAGTATAAACTGTAGCCTGATTTGGAGAAGTTTTCCGTCTGTCAAGTGTAGCCAAGTGTTAAAAAGAAAGGAATTCAAAAACTTAAAGCAGCAGTAAAATATTAGTCAATGTCTGTGAGAAATGAGTCTGTCCCTTTATTCAGGGTGTATGTGTTTAATGGTAAGCTGGGATGCATATAAGCTAGTCCAAGCATGAAGGGCAGTAGGACACTCATATGGAAAGCCAACTTTGTCCCTCAGTTATCAAGATAAGAAACCTGTCATTTCTCTCATTCAGTCTGTCAGCCTTGAGATACTCTAAGCAGACTTACCTCTGTGTTGTACACCCCATATATCAGGAAGATGAAGAGACCCTGTAAAATAAAATGGAGGGAAAAAGCTGTTAACTCTAATCATTTCAGCAGTAGAAATACCTGAAATAAACTTTCCTGGGAACAGACAAAAGAAGACACACTTCATCAAGGTCAATTTATTTTTCTATTTTTCAACATTATAAGCTGTACCTTGAGCATTTATTTGATAACGTGGGAGTGCATTGCCTACCATATTTGTGCAGTGGAACAATTTGGCATGAAGACTTCCAAGACCAGAACCTTAATTAGAAAAATACATGTCAATTCTGAATAATCGTTACTGCATATATTATAAATGTATAAGTAATGTTTTGACATGGGGAAAAAACACATATTTTGACTTTTTAAATAATTAGTGAAGGGTTGATTCTTAAGTCATATTGATGTGTTCCAAGGTAAGATACATGACCCCATACTACATAAACACATACATTAAAGGGTGCATGAAAAACATGTGCTGTTTTATAATACACAGAAAGTATTTCAGAGACTCAAATGCTATAAGTAGTGAACAATTCAGTTTTTCATGACGCAGGTCTCACTGATTAGAAATCAGTGGTGATAGATTTTGTGGCTATACATAATAAATGTAAAATGTTACATTATGGTATACTAACAACCTTGTTACAAAATGGGTGACTCTCTTCCATTATACAAGCTTTTTATTTTTGGAGGAATAGCTATACCACAGTGCAAGAAACAGCCAAGAAAATGTATTTAAAAATCTGCATACCTTTTCAAAATTCTTTTTGCAGTTGTCAGAATTTTACTATCACTTAACAATCAAAAGGTAGCAACATGAAGAAGATTCTAAAAAACTGCAAACTTTACATGTATGTGTACATTATACAAAGTTATAAATGATGTCCTGTGCATAAGTATTTAAAAACTATGGCCACACATAGACACAGAGTACAAAAGTATAATCTCAATGGGTAAATGTTGGTTAAAGCTGCTGCCAGATGTTCCACAAACATACTGGAGAATCCTTGTTAACTGAATTTCAAACTGTCACCCATTATGAGTCAGACTTATGTGAAAAATATTTTCTATCACTTTCATTAAGACTTAGTATGTCTCAGTACTGTGTTTGGTGTAAAGGTGAGAGATTTCACTGATAGACCACACTATTAAACAGTACCCATTCATTTCAATGAGGATTACACAGATGAAATTCCCAGTGAATCGTGCCTATTGTCAGTATTTTGGTGACAAAATTACAATTGCTTTGCAATACTTAAGCAATGATGTCAGACTTCAAAGCTAAATTCTTTAGCATTTTAAAACTCAATCAGCATCTCAAACAGCTATTGCTGCTTTGAACTTTTGAGAGGATACCTTATACTACACACTAAAATTTTATACCCAGGTTTTGCTTTGCACAGAGTTTACAGCTTCTCTAGTTAAGCAGTAAGGCAATCAGTATTTTAGACTCTGAAAAAACAAGTTGCTACAGCTAAATAACAATGCAGACCTAATTCTGTTGCAATCAATGAGAGTTTCCAGTGAAGTCAGGCTGCAATCACAGAATGGCTTTATTTGGTGAATCAGTAAGCCTGGCTATATTGTTTAGGCTGCTTGGTTACTTGATATTATATCTGGTAGAATTCAGAGGGACGGACTTCCAAGTATGCATGCATAGGATCAGGCCATCCATTTTCTAAAATTAAATCAACGGCATAA